AAGCATCAAAAACTGCTAAAAATGCATTTTTCGAGGTCCACACAAAAATCAAAAAATTTTTGACACCCAGAGGAATCGAACTTTAATGTTGAGATTCGTAAAAATTCAGTGGGAAAACCCACTAGGCCATCTGGACACAACAATTCAAAATCGTGGAAAAACACGATTTCTCGAAGGGTTTGAAGTTTTTGAAGGGTTTTAAGCAGTTTTTCAGTGTATCGAAGCTCTAAAAATGTTTAAAAAAAGTTTTAATAGTTCAAAAGTTCGAAAAATTGAAACATCACAGAACGATAACTTTCAACTTTGAGCCAATATATCTCGGTTCTTGTAGAAGATATCAAAAATATGTCAACTGGTAAGATGCTTACCATATTATCACCTATATTTTATCGGTTGGCCACTTTTTGATATCTCTCACTGGAAGCCAGATATATGGGCTCAAAGTTGACGGTTGGATTTAGAGGAAGGGTGCCTTCGAACAGAGTGTGGTTACGGTATTTTTCCCACCCAAAAATCCCAAAATTTTCAGCTAGATGCTCTTCAAGACATTATTCTCTCCTCCATCTGTTTTCTAACAAGCTCGTTTTTGTATTTATTAACATTTATTCATCTAATCCAACAAATTCCAAAAAGCCAATCTAATTTATTTTTGTCCTCTCGATTTTCCAAAAATTTCAAAAACCCCCCAACGGACCTGATAATTTTCAAATGCGCATTTTTCTCATTCCTATTGTTTACTCCAAATTTTGTGAAAACTATTGTTTTATTTTTTGCAACAAGTCCAGAAATCGTAAATATTGGAACTGAGCTTTGGTAATTTTTTTTTGCATTTTCTACCTTCAAACTTTGAGCCAATTTATCTCGGTTTCTGTGAGAGATATCAAAAAATTGTCAACTGATAAATTGTTTATCATAACATTACCAACATTTTATCAGTTGACACATTTTTGATATCTTTCATAGGAACCGAGATAATTGAGCTCAAAGTTAACAGTGTGGGAGCCCTTCTATTGTAGGTTTTTTTTTTCAAAATTTCAGGTTTTTCACAACTGAACTGATGTGTATAAGTGCTCCATGGAGCCTGCTAATCAGTAGTTCAAAATTGAGAAAAGAATTTATTCCACAAAAGTGAGTTTTCGACTTTTTAAAATAAAAAAAAATTCAATAAAAAAATTTTTTTTTTCAAAAATTTCAAAAATTTCCAGATGTCGGAAATCACCGGAAAACGTGTCTACTATGATGTCTACAATGTTCTAATTAGCCTAATTAACAATTAAAAATTTCAAAAAGTTTATAACTATGAATTTCAAAGTCCTCCAAGGCATCATTTACGTGTACAGATTTTGAGATTCTGAAATTAAATAATTAGCTAATTAGGCTTAATTATTTAACTACCTCATAGAAATTGCAAACGGAGAGCTTGGAGAAATCGAAAAAATCGATATTTCCGAGACATTCATCATTGAGATTTTTGGAAAATTTCAGATTTTCGAAACATTTCGAAATTGGACTTTTTTGAAATTTCAGAAGTTTGCAGGATTTTTGAATGTTGGATTTTTGGAAAGAAGTCAACGATGAGCATTTCTGAAAAACAATAATTGGGTCATGACCTAGATTTTTTAGGTCATGACCCAATTTTTCTAGGTCATTTTTCTAGGTCAAGACCCAGTTTTTCTAGGCCATGACCCATTTTTTCTAGGCCATGACCTAGATTTTTTTAGGTCATGACCTAGATTTTTCCAGGTCATGACCCAATTTTTCTAGGTCATGACCTAGATTTTTTCTAGGTCATGACCCAGTTTTTCTAGGCCATGACCTAGATTTTTTTAGGTCATGACCTAGATTTTTCCAGGTCATGACCCAATTTTTTTTAGGTCATGACCCAATTTTTATCTTTGTTTTACAGAAACACAGTTTTTATTTTTCACAATTTTTATCCAAAATTTAATTTCCAAATGCAATTTTCTAAATTCCAGCACTCCGAAGTTCCTGAATTCTCATTTTTTGGAATTTTCAGATTTCTTAAATTTGCAATTTCAGCTTCACAAATATTCAGATTGCATTGGGTTCGTGGGACGAATCGAGACTCGATTTCAGAACAAAATATGAGCAATAATATAGAAAATAGGTCCATTTTTTAAACTAAAAGAGAACACTTTTCCAGAAAATGAATAAAAATTTTATTTTAGGATTCAAAGCTAAAAATTCCAAATTCCCGCCAATCAAAAAATAAAAAAATCCCAATCATTATTCAAAATTGCCACTCCCAGAAGTGGCTGCATGGAGCCACTTGTCCACGGTGTGGACGTCGTACGAGGTGACGAACTTGACTCGGAAATGAGTGTGCTGAAAATAGGATTTTTGAAATTACCGTTGTTGAAAACCCTGGAATTACGATTTTTCGAAAAAAATTATTTTCAAAAAAAAAAAAATTTTTTTTAAATTTTATTTTTTCTTGAATTCCGGCAGTTTTTCAAATTTTAAAAAATTAAATCTTATCGTATTATATATGATTTTGAAGCTCTTGTCAAGATCTACATTTTCCAATTTGAACTGTTCCAAAAATTCATTTTCAGGCAAGTTACAAGCCTCAAGACTAGAGACACTAGAAATCCTAGCATATCTATTTAAACGCTCACATAGAAAACTACCAGCTTTTAAGAATTATTTCTATTATACACCTTTTTAAAGACATTCTCAAGATCTATATTTTGCAATTTAAATTTTCCAAAAATATTGATTTTTAGCCCAGTTATCCCTTTACCTTATTCGGTGCCTCCTCATTGGACCACAATTGCTCAGTCCAATCCACCACCACCTGTCCACGGGTCTTTGTACCATTGAGCTCTACATCCACATACAAATATTGCGAGTTTTTGGCAATTTTGTCCTCATCAATCGCTGTAGCTACAGCGATCTCATCACAGTACGAATATTGACGTCCATTGGCTTCACACTTTATGCGGCCTGGAACTTTTTGACTTGGAAAAATTGATTTCAGATACAAAGAGGAGCCTCTAAAGTTGCCTTTCTCATTAGTAAAGATCATTAGTAAGAAAGATTCTCACTAAGAAAAATTCTCACTAAGAAAGATAGTCTCTCTTACTGTTAGTGAGGAGAAGGATCTTTGGACTTTTAGGACAGTTAGGGTGTCTAGTCGTCTGCGTCTCTAACCCCCCGCAACTTCAAATGCGTGTATCTCGGCTATCAGTGGTCCTAGAAAAGAGATTTTAGTACCTAAATCTTCAATTTTCGTTGCTCTTTTCAATCAATCAAAATCTAATGTTTGAAAAATTAGGAAAGTTCCGACTTGTGGTACGAAGTGATTCAATGGCTTAGAATTTCAAAACTTCTGGCTTCCAGACTTCATTTCAGTCCAGAAACCAACGTTCTAGCACGTCTAGAAGGGGAGATACAGCCGTTCAAAGTTTTAGAGAGACGCAGACAGCTAGAGTGCCTCGTCGTCTGCGTCTCTAGCCCCAGAAACTTCAAATAGGTGTATCTCGGCTCCCAGTGGTACTAGAACAGTGATTTTGGCACCGAATTCTCTCATTTTTGTTGCTATTTTTTAATGAGAGAACATTGAGCTTTATTAGAGCCTCTACTGTATTTCCAACAAGCTCAATTTCTCAAACTTTAGTTACAAAGTTGGAAACTTACTGCAACTTTGCCCATCGGTTCGTCCCAAAAGGAATAAAATCAAAATGAGAACGAGAATCATTTCTTCAATGACTTGAATATAACAGGCATGAAGTTGTTTATATATTTATGTTTTAACCCGCAACAAAGTTCTAAAAATGTGTTTCTCGCTGAAACCCCCCTGAAACTTTTGGATCTTTGGACTTTTCTTAGTAACAATTGTTTCTAGTGAAGATTTTTCTCAGTAAGGATGTTTCCTAGCGAGAAATTTTTTTAGTGAGGATCTTTCTTGATAAGGTCCATTCTTAGTAAGTATCCTTCTTAACAAGGTATTTCTCAATAAGCATCTTTCTTAATGAGTTGCCCATGTCGTACCCATAACCTACCAATATGTGTCGCCATGGACAAATACCCAGCCAATGGGGTTGGATACTTGAGATGTGCCGAAAAATCTACCGATTCGTTGTGAACCTTGGACTCGAAATAGAATGCCTCCCATGGGACAATCGTGATGGGACATTTCATACGTCTGAGCACAATACTTGCCGCTTCCGGGTCTCCATGGAAATTGTACTCGGCTGAGGAGCCTAGAAATGGGAAACTAAGGAAATTTTACATCATTCTATAGCTGAAATCCCGTAAGTTCTGAAAATCTAGTCAAATTTCAAAACAGATGATTTTGGGCCAAGTTATAAACCTTTAAATGTATAGATGTCATACCTCCATCAACATTTCCCACTGCATAGTAGTTCCCGCCCATGATCACCATTCTCGATGGGTACGTGGCGAATTCATCGCAAAGTTGGAGAGCAATAGCGACGTTGGTTAAGGGACCGATGGTTCTGGAATTTAGGAAATTCAAAAAATTTTAAGAAAATTCAAGAAAATCGAACTCGGAGTCTGCAACTTGAGTTTTTGTCAGTTACCGTAAGAAAAGAAGGCCACTCAAACCGTCAACTTTGAGCCCATTTATTTCCGTTCCTGTGAAAGGTATCAAAAACTTGTCAACTGATAAAATATTGATGATAATCTGATAAACAATTTATTAGTTGACAACTTGTTGATATCTTTTACAGAAACTGAGATATATGAGCTCAAAGTTGAAAGGTAAGGAGGCACTAAAGTTAGCTCAGTTTAGAACCCACTTCCTAGCTTCAAGCCTATATATCTCGGTTCCTGTGAAAGATATCAAAAAGTTGTCAACTGATAAAATATTGATGATAATCTGATAATCTGATTTCGATAATTTTGACAGGTAAAAACAAACTCACACCAAGGTCGCGTCTCGATTCTCTCTGAAAATATCAATCATTGCCAACCCGGCATGCTTCCCTTCTCCATCGAAATCGGATTGCTCAACTTTTGGGAACTCCTCTGGCTTATCTCCAATTCCATCGATTCCAAAAAAATCGGATACCGTATCATCTTTGGGAAGCGACAGGATTGATTTGGATGCGCCTTCAAAAATGAGGGTTACGGTAGTTTGATTTTGGAATCTCTAGAATTTTGAAAGCGTGACTATCCAGAGATTCTGGAATTTCTAATTTTCAAATTCCGGCATTTCAAAATCTTTGACTATTCTGAATTTGGGAATCTCTAGTCCTTTCGAAATTTCGAAATTAAAATGTTTACCTTTAAAAACAGGAATTTGGAGTTTTTGGGTTCCTTGATTCGCTCGAATTGTTCTTTTGATATTTGCACATGCCTGGTCCACGGTAACACATCCATGGACCGCTGTGAAAGCCAAAATTTCAGTTTTCGGGTGTTGAAGGGCCAAGGAGATGGCACGAACGTCATCACTGACACCGTCGGAATCTGGAATTGTTTCTTCATTTTTCTGAATATCCCGAATAACGATCAAAAATCTGTCGGATTGGTTCCAAAATGTGTTCTCAGCTCAAGATTTTCGTCAAAATGAGCTCAAACACGAATAGGCTCCGCCCATTTTGAATTTTCCATATAACACGCGACGCACGACCGTGACGCGCCGGAAAAATGAAATTGGGCGGAGCCCAGTAGTTTTTGGGCTCATTTTGAAGCTAGAATTGTGTTAAAAACAAATTTTCAACCCAAAAAATTGGTAGAAACTCAAATTATTAATTTTTTTCAAAAAAATTTTTTTTTTAGAAAATCCCAATTTTCTGAAAAACAAACACAAATTTGCCGGGTTGGTCCTAAACCTCTCCCAATGTAAAAATTCGTTTTTAGCTCAACATTTGCGCCAAAATGAGCTCAAACACGACTAGGCTCCGCCCATTTTGAATTTTCCATTTGACACGCGACGCACGACCGCGACGCGCCTGAAAATAAAAGTGTGAGGAACCTAGTCGTGTTTAGGCTCATTTTGAAGTCAGAAACGTGCAGAGAACGAATTTTCAAATTATAGTGTCCCTAGAAGCCAACATTTTTATCTATGGAAAGTTTTAGACTCACCAATAACCATTTTCACTTTGTCCACAGTCATTTTGTCTCAATTTCAGTCCTAGAAATTTTTTTGCTGGAAAATTTTTTTTCTAAAAAAAGGAGAAGGTAAGTGGTAAGACGGGAAACTTATAGCGGGTTTTATGACGCTCCCAACCCATCTCTATCTTATCATTCCTTATCAGTTTATGTGCGTTCTGCGTCTTTTTCAATATTATACATACCATAATTCTTGGAGATAATAATACAAAGAGGATTAGATTAGTAATATTAAAGGTACACAAGGAATACCGTAAGCCTCGAAGTCTAATGCTCCAGAGCTCCGAAAATGGGAATCTGGGAATTAAATGCTTCATTTCAGCTCATAAACCAACGTTCTAGCACTTCGTAAACCCGAGATACAGCCGTTTGAAGTTTTGGAGAGACGTAGACAGTTAGAGTGTCTCGTCGTCTGCGTCTCTAGCCCCAAAACTTTAAATGACTGTATCTCGGCTCCCAGTGGTCCTATAACAGTTATTTCAGAAGTGAAATCTATAATTTTTGTTGCTCTTTTCTCTTGGACCTAAACTGAAATCGTTTTTTAAAAATTACCTGATTTTTTGGATTTCGAAATCTCAATTAATTTTCTGGATTTTCTCGAAAACTTTCCCAGAATCTGAGTTTAATTTTAGTTCAAAATTCGATCACTTCTAGAAGCCGAGATACAGTCCTTCAGTTTTAAAGAGACGCAGACAGTTAGGGTGTCTAGTCGCCTGCGTCTCTAGCCCCCGCAACTTCAAATGCGTGTATCTCGGCTGCCAGTGGTCCTAGAGAAGTGATTTTGGAACCGATATCTCTAGTTTTTATAGCTCTTTTAGTTTTGGACACAAAAATGATTATTTTTGAAATGTTATGAAAAATATTTCAGTGAAATAACTTATTTTTAATGATCTAACATCATCTAACATCAAAATTCCAGAAGTGCAGGTGCAAAAAAATTCGATTTCCGACGCGAAATTTCTTTTTTTTTTTGCTGTCCATGACTAACTTTTTTTTCTCTTCAAATAATTTTTATTTTTCTCAAAGATGCTTCTTCAAATAAGTCTGGAACTAGTTCCAGCATCCCATTTATTATTTATGGCTATTTCCTGGGTTTCCTTGGTACTGTACTTGAGGATACTGTACATTTTGAATTCCAGAAAAAATCTGGAATTCAAGTCCAGCTTCTTTGTTATTATTAAATTGCATGTGAGTTTGAATAAATTTGAAAAGTTAAAAAAATTTTTTTTTTTCGAAAAAGTCAAATTCTCAGGCTATCACTGATATCGCCATGTTTCTATTTGTGGAATTTGTGGCGAGACCCCGAAAATACAGGATTCATAATTTAATTGAGCCAATTAACAATAATTGGCTCCCGCAATTAATTTATTTCACACAGACTGCAATTAAGAATACAATGTTTTTGGGCTATACTGTAGTTGCGGTGAATAGGTTTACTGTAGTTTTTCTGCCAAAACGACATGTTCAGGTGAGTAGGAAATCTGAAATTTTTGGGGAAAATTTTTGAAAAAAATTTCAAAAAAAATTTTTTTATTTATTTTCAGAAAATCATAAATTCAACAGATCAGAGTTATTTTAGTGCATCAAACTTCTGAAAATTCTGAAAATTGATAATAGAAATGGAATTTGGTGATTATGAAAGTTTTTGAAATATAGCAGAAAATTTGGAAAAAATCGGAAAATTTTCAAAAAACTTTTTTTTTTCGGATTTTTTTTCAACCAATTTCAACAAATTGCTTATAACTTAGTTAGTTTTAAAGGTACATTATTGATAATTATATCAATAGAATCAGCATAAAATTTCTCATCTAATTATATATAATACCCAAAATTTGCAAACTTTAAGTATACAATTTTAGAGCGTTTCTTATAAAAATCAGAAACTCTTTCAAGCTGAATTGAGAAAATCCTTTGTAACTTGGTTAGTGTTAAAGCTACAGCTCTCATTTTAATACCAATAGAATCAGCACAAAATTCTACACTATACAACACCTAATTGATAAAAATTCCAGATCTGGACCCCCATGATAATAGCGATAATCTATTGCCTTGAATGGTGTATCCCAACAACCGCCCTTATTCATATGTTCTATTACACTGGCAATCATAATTTCTCATTTTTGCCGGTACCAATCACTGGAGGATTGTCTTTAAGAGCGAATTCCAATTTCATGAAGCTAGATGCTCTTCAGGATTTTGTAATCTCAACTAGCTGCTTTTCAATTATCACTATTTTATACTTCTCCATAATTTTGTATATTCTCAAAAATTTGAAATTCTCAAGAAATATTATCCCACAGAACGGGAAATTCTCGGGATTCTCAACTCCTTACGAGTTTATAATATTCAAATGCGCATTTTTTTCGTTTTTACTATTTCTACCGAATGCCGCCAAAACTGGTATACTGTACTTTGCAAACGATCCGGGGATAATTAATTTGGCAACTGATTCATGGTATTTTACGACGGAGTTAATGTGTATTAGCTCTTGTTGGTCGTTGTTGTTCAGTAGTAAACGATTGAGAGAGGAGGTGACACCGAAAATGTGAGTTTTTGACTTTTAGCGTAACTTATAGCTTATACCTTGTAACTTATAGTGCTTAAAGCTTCTAGCTTATATCTTGCAGTTCAAAACTTGTAGCTCAACTTATAGCTTATAGCGTTATAGCGTTATAGCGTTATAGCGTTATAGCGTTATAGCGTTATAGCGTTATAGCTTATAGCTCATAGCGTTATAGCGTTATAGCTTATAGCTCATAGCGTTATAGAGTTATAGCGTTATAGCGTTATAGCGTTATAGCGTTATAGCTTATAGCTTATAGCTTATAGCTTATAGCTTATAGCTTATAGCTTATAGCTTATAGCTTATAGCTTATAGCGTTATAGCGTTATAGCGTTATAGCGTTATAGCGTTTTAGCGTTATAGCGTTATAGCGTTATAGCGTTATAGCGTTATAGCGTTATAGCGTTATAGCGTTATAGCTTATAGCTTATAGCTTATAGCTTATAGCTTATAGCTTATAGCGTTATAGCGTTGTAGCGTTATAGCGTTATGCGTTCATGTTATAAATTCCAATTATTTAATAAAAATAAAAATTTTCATTTTCAGACACTTCTCATTTGGACAAAGTTCGGTGGTTGGAAGCACTGTCTCCGGTCGAATGTACTAGAATCTCTATATTTTTATTACAATTGAATTCGAGTTATTTAGTGTTCAAATTATTTAATCAGAAATAAACGTTTTCGAATCCCTGTATTTTTTAAATTGAATTTGAATCTTTTTTTTTTTTTTTGAAGTTATAAGAAAAGTTATATGAACAGATCAAACATGAAGAGAACCAACTTGGCCATAAATTATGGGAAGAGCAATAATACTTAGGAAAAAGCAAGCCAATATAAGCATATTTTCTTCCTGGTTACCATATGAAAATGATTCTAATCTTTGCTTCTTTTCTATGCTTCCTTGGAGGAATCGACGCTCAATTAGGTCAGTTTTTTTTTTGTTTTAAAGAGTTTTAGATAATCTGAGGCTGTATTCATGAACGTTTACCATACGGTCATGAATAGGTCCTCTGAATATTTGTTAGTAGTTAATTGATTTTCAGCATGTGCGTCGTGTAACGATTACCAGGACGACCTCTTTCCATCGGGTTCCAGTTTCCCTCGAGTGAAATTGGTGTTTAAGTGAGTTTGAGTTGAGCTTCTCACCATCGAGCTATTTTACAGTAGTTTCATCGGCGACGATGGTTGCAAAGTTGGCAGTTTCAAGTGCATTAGCTTGGAGAAAGGATACAACAGTACAGCTGTCATTATGAACCCGACAACTGGTGAACAATTAGCAACCTTTGCGCCGAGCCAAACTGAAAGTATTGGTGGAAATATCACTTGTGTGGCTTCGTCGAATTCAGCTGATTGGCGATTCAATGGAGTGTACGTTTAACAATACAAGCATGTTTGACGCGCCGCCTTTGGCGCATTTTAACAGATTTCTTGTACTGTTCGTCGCTTCGAATTTATTGTTAATTTTCAAGCTTTTCAAAATGCGCGGACATAATTGACAGATGAAACCAACCGAGAAAGAGATGCCACTTCATTTATTTATTATAAGAATGTTGTATGCTATTAAATTTAGTTTTTCAGAGAGTCGTCTATCCATTGCGGTTGGAGTTGGACGACGGATTCACTGTTAGAAAGAGGACGTCTCCCCAACCAACTACTCCTACCACAACCACTACTACGGTTAAGCCTACTACAACTACTTCTGATTGTGGACAATAGGATGTTATTAATTACTGTATTACTGATAAAACACAGAGTGCTTAACAAAACTGTTAAACGAACTTTGAAGTGGCAAAGTTGGATGGGAAACATTCTGTTTGAAAATTTATGTATGCAATCGGGCTACCGCTTTCTTTTTGCCCGTGTAGCTCAGTCGGTAGCGGCGCCGCACCCTCAATCCTCGCCCCACACGTTCAAATCCTCGAGGGGCATATTTAAACGAAATTTCGAGAACATTATTTTTTTCATGTCCCCCCACCTTTAAGTCTCCAACCAGCACCACTGCTCAGTACATCACATTTCATACTTCCACCATCGCTTATGATGCTACTAGCGGGATAGGTCATTTGTCGGTTGCCACTAGCATCAACATATGAAGCAACAACATATGAAGTGGCTATGCACTTGGGATTGAGTACAACACATTGAAAGACAGCAATCTTACAGTCATTTTCGTCGCGTTCCATGCTGAAAAATGATCAATTCGTATTTTGTAATATTCTTAATTGAAACTGACGACACATTGAAGAATCCATCCTATTGTCCACAATCAGAAGTAGTTGTAGTAGGCTTAACCGTAGTAGTGGTTGTGGTAGGAGTAGTTGGTTGGGGAGACGTCCTCTTTCTAACAGTGAATCCGTCAGTCCAACTCCAACCGCAATGGATAGACGACTCTCTGAAAAACTAAATTTAATAGCATACAACATTCTTATAATAAATAAATGAAGTGGCATCTCTTTCTCGGTTGGTTTCATCTGTCAATTATGTCCGCGCATTTTGAAAAGCTTGAAAATTAACAATAAATTCGAAGCGACGAACAGTACAAGAAATCTGTTAAAATGCGCCAAAGGCGGCGCGTCAAACATGCTTGTATTGTTAAACGTACACTCCATTGAATCGCCAATCAGCTGAATTCGACGAAGCCACACCAGTGATATTTCCACCAATACTTTCAGTTTGGCTCGGCGCAAAGGTTGCTAAT